CATGTCTATTAAAAAGAACTCTTATCTTCAAATATTACCTATTGAACTTGTTCATCAAATTTTCGATGATCTCAATACAGAGACCATTGTCTTTTCAATTCGTCGTGTGTGTAAACAGCTCTATTCGATTGTTAATTCTTATAATCGCTACGAACTAGACTTCCGTTATTTAACAAAATCCAATATATTTGTTATGGCACGTATTATTAATCCTAAAAATATTATTTCACTTACGCTTTCGGATGAATTCAAGAATTATGGACAAATTGGATTCTTTCTTTCTCACTTTCATATTGACCAATTTATTCGACTACATTCACTGACTCTCTTCTATATAAACTATCAAGATTTGCCTGAAGTTCAAAAATATATCATAATATATTCCCTTAAAACATTCTCAATTTCATCAGATGAATATTATAACAGCAATATAAGCACTTCGTTATCATCAATTATATCGCACAATAATCTTGCTAAATTCGAATTCGATGGAAACGAAAATACTCTCTATGAAATACAATGGCCCGTTTCATGTAGATTGGAGCATTTGACAATTGCATGCAGCTGCAGTTCGAACACAGTTTACTCTATTCTTGGTCAATTGCCTCATCTACAAACATTGGTTCTGAAAGATGTTTATGAGAATCAAATCGATGAGACTGGAGTTACACTTTCTCATGTCAAACAGTTCAGCCACTTAACTTCGCTCTCGTTAAATAGCAGTTCTTATATAACGACGTACATTGTTGAATCATTCCTTTCACTTTTACCTAGGCTAACACATTTTCGACTTATGGGCGAAACAGATTTATGGGAGCTTTCATTATTTGATGGTTCTCAATGGGAAAATTTTATTGAAATGAAATTACCTCTATTGAACAAGTTCGAATTCTGGTTTACTCGCCCTGTACATGATCATGCAGAGCCTAACACTGTAGAATCATTGATTGCACCATTTCAAACACCATTTTGGCTTGAAATCAAACGGTGGTTTGTTAAATGTGACTATGTAGACGACGATTATGACCGAAAATTTTATCTTTATTCCATACCCATCTTCCTAGATAGCTTTGATTATTCTAACCAGCAAGGTACAATTCTACATTCCAAATTAAACATCACGGATAACAACGCACCAATTATCGTCAATACACATCGATTAGATTTAAATTTGAGTCAAATGATGACTGAAAATATTCGAAACAATGTAAGTCTTGTCATTTCACTAATTCTTGTAAAAGAAAATCGATAGACTCTTATTTGAATATAATGATAAGTTTTGCCAAATACTTTTTGTAGACTCACAGTGATTCCTTTTTATATTTTGGTACCCGTTAATTTTGCAAGATTTCAGTTTTTATTGAAAAGAATCTTCATTGTTGCTAAGATTCCCAGAAAAATTTCACTTGCATATTATGAACTAGGAATTAGAATACATAATAAAACTTAAATAGTAAAATATTAATTTTATTAGATCCAACAGCAATATTAAGGAAAGTAACTTATTCTTATTGCTCATGTTACTCTAATATTCAAAATGTGCCATAAAGCTTAGTACCATAAAAAAATCTCAATAGTTTCCTCATGTTTTCATCAGATGAACTACTTAGTTTTCTAGTGTTAGAGAAATATTTACAACGAATATTCAAAACTGCTACTATTTACTTTCGAAGGATGAATCTTCAAGTGATTAACCCTTTACGAACCGACTTTTTTTTTCAAGAAATTATAAACCCGCGTATCGTTAGAATTATTAATAATCTAGAAATCATAACCTATATATCTGTTACGTTGGTTAGTTCTTGTTTGTGTAGAGACTGAGACAATGAAGTTTCTGATAGAAAACGATACAAAATATACAATCATTTCACTTCATAATATCCAAAGATCTTGCACTTTTTGTTTCAATTGTGTGCTTGTATGTATATATAGGCACGGTCCGTAAAGGGTTAACGTGTGAAACATGGTCACGAAAGTATTTTGATTCACAGAAAAGTATAACATTTGTGTATTGAAGGGAATGATGAGAACCGTAAAAAATATGAGCAACTTTTCATCTATGCATGAAAATGTCTTGCTGTTGACTCTCATGAAAATTTACTTACATTTATACTCATTGCTGTTTTGCTGGAATATTAGCTTTAATTTCACGTTATCCTCTTTCGTTCTGATAAAATGGCAAGCATGCTAGAATCTTTTGCTTTATTTGACAAAGTCCTGTTTTTGAATGACTTTGTTAAATGAAAGAAATCATATTTTCGAATGCGTGTAAAAATCTATCCACTAAAATCAGCGCCTAACCACGTAATCAAAATAACATTGTTAATTTTGATCCGAAATTAGTAGCATAATCAATGTCAAATGCAACCTTTTAATGAAATAGTCATGGTTTTTAATATAATTTATAATGTTGTTTTTCTTTATCTTATATATAGAATCTTTTTAGATGGGTAGTACTTGTGAGGGTGTGAGTCTTGTTTTCACCTGCATCCACACCCTTAAAAACATGAATTTCTGTCTTTAGACTAATCAAAGAATGAATTATGTATTTCGAAATGTAACAGAACTTACACTGATAATTGATTACAAATGGCCTATCGGTTCGATTGAACGTCTTTCAACAATGGTCAATCTATCGAATCTTCGAAAACTATATTTGTATTTCGAAAGCGAGGGCGAGTTCGCTATAAGTCTTGATGTCGAAATGGATACACTACTCAAGCGAGCATGGAATCTTTGTTCAATTCGAATAAACTGCAATGATTCTGAAAGAATGAAGTTATTAACTCTGAATTCTATCTGTTTGAAATTACCTCATCATATCAAACGTCTTGACACTGATATCACGTATGTGAACGACGCAATAATGATATTTGAGCAAGCCAAACATTTATCATATGTTACCTTTTACACATGTGACACATTGAATTTCGTTGATGAGATCAATCAATGGCTCTCGCAAATGGAAAGAGATATTGCATGTAAGGTAGACTATTTATCACTCTCAAATTACAATTATTACTACTATGATGACTATTACCACTATGACTGGTATTATGATCGAAGCGAGTTTATTCCCTTGCGGGTCCGAGATAGGTTGCATGAACAATCGAAAACATCAAAAAAATGCAAAAGTGCCAAGGAAACTTATCGCTATCATTAATTAAGATTTGTTCTCTTTATATTCTTTTTCACAGGTACAATTTCAAATATTCATTAACATATTAATTAACTTGTTGCATAATTGATCTTAATACAAAAATCAAAACATTTCTAATCAAAATGACTCTTTTTAAACAAAAATGAACTCAGAAATCCTCTCTTGTTACGTATCCAGACTCTATAAGGTGAAGGTGAGGTGTGGGTGTGTGTGTAGTACGAAAACAAGCAGGTCCAGACACACATACCCACACCAACACCCTCACCCTTTTGAATTCGGACTTCATGCAACATATAGACACCGGTGAGGTATGAAAAAAACCAAGAGATTACATGCCCATAGGTCTTCTGTTCAAAGTTATAGGAATTTTAGTCTACGTCATGGTATATACCCAAAAGTCGAATGATAATATTTCGACCTGAGATTTTGCTTACAGACAGATCTATTTATAAGTGGAATATCCTGAAAATTTCAGCTGAAAATAACGTTTCTTTTCCGAGATATTGAAGTCCCAAAAATGACTCTTATATTACAAAGGATGCTAGAATTTTCGGTTTTTTTTGAGACTTCAATATCTCGGGAAAGAAACATTCTTTTCAGCCGAAATTTTTAGGATATTCTACTTATAAATAGATCTGTCTGTGAGCAAAATCTCAGGTCGAAATATTATCATTCAACTTTTGGGTATATACCATGACGTAGACTAAAATTCCTATAACTTTGAACAGAAGACCTATGGGCATTTAATCTCTTGGGTTTTTTCATATCTCACTGGTGTCTATATGTTGCATCAAGTCCGAACTCAAAAGGGATTGAACAGTTAGAAAAGAAGCACAAACACACCCACACTCGGGATCACAGGGCCATTTTGAATCCGTTAACTTATAAAAATTACCAGTATCAGAATTTGAATCACCAAAACAAACTATTGTATCATATAGAATTTCTTCGGCTTGAATCTTATTAATAAATGATACTAAGATCAACAAAATAAATCGATTAGGTACGCAGTATATATTCATATTTTTACAATATCAGTAACGTATAATGTACCGTTAATAAGAGATGCATAGTATTGTTTGTATTACGAGACAAATCGATATGCATCTTTCGATTGGTATCTATTATGTATGTTATATGAAGGTTTAAATTATTCATCCGTGTTATGTTATCACATGTCTCTTTATCTATATATACGAAGAATCAGAGAAACTAATTTCTTACAAAAAAACATTGATTTAGTATAAATTTTATTCAATTACGATTCAAATCGAGTATTTTTATGCAGTAAAATTAAATTATCAGTTGATATAAAAAAAGATTTTGATAATCAATGCTCATATAGCGTATAAGAAACAATTTACATAAAATGAAAGAAACAAAAAGTTCACATACGAGCAAAGAGTTGTATTACATATTTGAATTCAAGTAAAGTTTTTATCGAATAATTGATGTGTGTCATGATTATGCAATTCCAATTTGAAGTAACTTATACACTATTTCCAACTTCATCAGATTTCATTAAATTCAGTTCAATAGTAAATTTATAGCTTGTAAATACATGATAGATTGAAATAATCATAAAAAGTTAGAAAATTTGTATTCAAATCTGAATAAAATCACTGATGCTGAATATGTATGAGAAAAATAAAGGTAATAACGGCAAAAAAAGTAGATTAATATTGATAAATAATTAATTGACATAAATCAAACATATAGAAACTAAAGTCGCAGAGAGTCTCAAGATATTTTTTTGGGATCAGAAATCGTTTTCTAATATCTTATTATAACACAAATAAATTTAAGATTATAAGAGTTTAATTATAATTGATTTTGAATTACAAAACAAAAAAATCAATTATACTTAGATCACTCTGATGTTCATGATCTTTTACAACCTATGTAATATCGTCCTCTGTAAGAACATCAATTTATTGTTCTCTAAATTGATGTGTATCAGAGTTGAATTAGATGCTTAATTAATGCTTAAAAGATTTCTATAGGCAGAACAGTAGATTTAGAAGTTTGAAATTCTCTTTGTACCCATAAGAATCTTGATTTATTTTTTCACTTTTAATTATCCATAAAGTTGAATTCTGTGGAATCTCATACTATCCTTGATAATTCTGATTTTTCTATTTGAAACAATCGACTATTTTGAACTTGTTAAATTATGCAAATTTCCTGTATCAGAATTTGAATCACCTAAATCAACTATCGTATCATATGAAATTTTTTCGAATTGAGTTGTATAAATATTGAATATTAAGATGAGCAAAAATAATATTTAGAAAAGTCGATTGACATACACACTTTTTTTATTATGCTAGTGTTTCATATTACGTCGTATGAAAGTAATGAAAAACAGGCAAACGATGGATATAATTAGATCTCTCTTACATACCTATGCGTATTTTATGTATAACACATTTATCTATATGAATTATTCAGTCATTATTACTAATTACGTACTTGTCTATTCATGTAAGTTATTAGAAAAATCGGAAATAAAATCATAGATGAAAGTAATTGCTTGACACAAAAGAATACTCTGTGACATAAATGTTGTGTATAAAGTGAAGCATAATTTTATTGGATTATTTTTATACACACATGAAAAGAAGACTTACAGCTAATATAAAACATGAATAGAATTATTTGAAATTCTGATATGAAAAAAGAACACATAGTTTTTTTATGAATTTACTGATGTAGCATAATGAGAGATCATATTGGGAGAGCTCGTAAATTTTTAGATTTTTTTATAGGTTTTGGTAAACTCTCGAAAAGATTAAAGTAATTTATTTAAAACTACCAAATAAACAAGAATTTTTATTGTTAACTCGATATAATCTGAAATTTTATTACTTCACAAATACAAGCGAGTATGGAGAAAAGCACTTATCTTCGACATGAACGATTAAAATTGGTACACAGATTTATATATATAATCGATGTAAAAGGAGTTGAAAAAAAAATAATTATGATCAGTGACTGAACTAGGATTTTGAGACTAATGAGCAAACAAATTTCTCTTGCCTCGAAAAAAAGGAGGGATGTATTGGACAAAGATTTTTATTGATAGGCTAAAAAATGTTTGTGATCCTGCACAACAGAGTTTGCAATGGAAATCTAAAACAAAATCTATCTGTACATTTTACTTATATAAGTGAAGTGTATTTGTACACTTTATTTTCATCACCAAAGTGTATCAAAGTGTACGGATACGGAAGTCAATTTTTTTTCAAATATAAAATATAAATTGAAATATTCGGATCATTCACAAACGAGAAATGTAATTACATAATCACCCAAAAAGAACAAGTATCCGTACTATTTCATTATCTACCGTTTTACAAAAAAATAAGTAAAGAAAAACGCGAGTTTATAGAAAAAAAACATAAACGAGTATTGTATTGTATTGTATAGAGTCGCATCATTATCAGAGATCGAGAAAAACAGAAGATATATCTAACTAATCATAAGATCGATCGAAAGATATCACAATTTACTATGACGTTTTCATTCTATTTGATTTAAAACTTCTTAGCACTTTTAATGCATTAATGTGAAAGTGTAAATTTATTGTGTACAGTGTACGAAGTACATTTTGTTTTTCCAACCAAAATGTAAAATAGAGTGTACATAAAAAACAGCAGATGTTCTGTACATTTTGTTTCTGCTTGGTACACCTGCTATTGCAAACCCTGCTGCACAATACTAATAACATTGTAAAAAGAAAAAATTGACACGTGATGTTTTATCAGATATACATCAAACTTGAATTTTTGACCTGAATCAAGTGTTTTCTATTTAAAGAAAATGTATAGTTTAATAATGTATTATTATTATTATTGGGTCGCTTTTCATTAGGCATAGCATATTATTAGTATGTTTTGAATTAGAATAATAAAAACACCAATATAGTATTTGAATATTCAACTATGAATACAAATAAATTAATTTCATCAAAAAATATTTTGAAGATTTCTAGTAAAATGAATTTAAAGCAAATATTTTGAGTTATCTAACATAATAAAAAATCTACGCATTGTTTACCCTTCATATACTTTGCATTTACCTTTTTTATTTTCGCCCTATGTTTATATACTTGTTTTTTAGTATATCATAACAATACGCTTATCTATTTTACATTTTGATGGCTTTTGTACCTGTTTCTCCATAGACTGTTGATGGTTTACCAAAATTCCTCTCAATGGTGCGTCATCAATTCATTAATCAAGCTATTTATGCATTTTCTGATCTTGGTATAGCTGATCGATTGTTTGATGTACCATCAGATCGTAGTCTTACTGTCGAAGAAATTATGGGTGATGATCGATTACAATGGAATCAAGATTTGCTCTATTGAATATTACGTGCATATGTTTATGGAGGTATTGTTGAATCTATTAATGATGAAGAACATTTTATTCTTACCATATCTAGTATAATGATGGCGTCAAATTATCCATTACATATTCGAAATTTTATTCGTATGGATTTTGGACCAATTTGCGCTAGTGCTTGTATACAATTACCACATATGATTCGTGGAGAGGGTACAGCTACTGAAATAGCTTGTGTCAGGTGGCATGGATTTTCATACACTTATAGAATAACCAGATCAATAAGAATTATTAAAAACATTTAGTGGTGCTATGACAACATATTCAATAAAAAGCGATTCTCAATTAGTCACAACTGTTGATTTTGGAATATATTTAGCTCAAATTCTTGATAAGTATCCATCGATTCAACATAGAATTGCTTTTTATTTACCACATTTTGTTAATAAATTTCAAAAATGATGAAGAATTTAACTTACGTAACATACGTAAAAACAAACGAAGTTTTGTTTCTGGTAATATTTATGATTCATCAAGTGTTTCATCTGCAGATGCTTATGTACTCAAACATTTTTTACATGATTTTGGTGATACGAAATGTTTAGAAATTTTATTATCGATCTACAAAGCTAATGAAATGAAAAAGATACAGTAGTAACAATATTTATTATTGAACATATCATTTTACTAAATTGTGCTTTAAGTAATTGTCAATCACATGCATTCGATATAGCAATGACTATGGCGTTGTGTGATGCTCATGAACGCACACAAAATGAATATGTAAGGTGTGGGTGTGTTGTGAATGAGTATTCAGGAAGATATTATCCGCACATATTCACACCCACACACACCCACGACACAACACCATCCAACCCATAAAACATCATGCCATTTCACCATATTCATCGTCTCCATATCTACCAAGTCAATGTAACACGGCTACCCAAACAAGATACACATTTTACTTTCGCATATTCTACGAAAATTTCTTTTTCATTCGCTTCAAATACAACGAACTGACTGCTAAGTGCAATAACTATTTAAAACACAAATATCTAATTCATAAAGATTGAGTTCAAAACATTCGGAAAAATCTCTAAATATTTAATACGTTATCGTGGTAACTTGTACATCAGTTTAAGATCTCTTATACTGATACTTAGGCCACTTGATAAGTTTGAGCTTAGAAACATCCGAAATAATCTATACATAGATTATCGTGGTAACTTATACACACCTCTTTTTCACAAGATAGATATTGACTTGTATTTTCGAATAAGATTATACTTAAGTTAATTCTATTTCTCGAAGATTTTGACCTGTACAAATGAATATACATATTAATTATTATATCGAAAAAGTAATTCCTATGTTCTACATCTTATTTGAATTACTATCTAGTAGATATAATATTAAGTTATCCACCTGATGAAGTCTTGTCATGGATAGAAACAACTGTTGTCGTGGAACGGCGATCTATTCTTATCACACACCCACACGCACACCCTCTTTCATTGCATAAGACTTGTAGCGTTTCCTCAGATTCGAAAACCTTTAATCAGTTTCCGGGATCAGTGTCTTATAAATCGTTATAAGCGTCTGTTTCAAGGTTTTCGAGAGTTCTGAAAACCTTGGTTGGAAACTCTTCAAGAGTTTCAGATAGAAATAAAATCAGGAACCCTTTAAGGGTTTCCAAGAATACTTTTTTTTAGAGTATACACCCTCAAAATTGGCATTTGTTGGTATTCATGTCAATCATTTTCTCCTGAAAAGTTCAAACAACGATAGTTGCTCTAACAAGGATACGAAAAAAATTAGTTTTCAAAAATTCTTTCTATTTCTTTTACGGAAAACATTGATGATACGGATTATTATAGAATCTGTGCGGTATAAATTCAAATTCATTTGTAACGATTCATACTAGTTCATTTATTCATAATCAGCACAGCGCCATACGATTAATATCAACGTTTAGTAATACATGCCAAACCAGTAAAGATTCCAAGCGTACGTCTGAGCATAGCTGAGCATTGCGGTTGCACTCAAACCTGTTTGATATCTAGCATAGACTTGAAAAGAATTGATCGTAGGAGAATATATAGCAGTAAAACTCTGCAACCAATACTGTAAACCAGTTCCACCCATGCTAGTAAAGTAGAGAGGTGTTTGATTGAAACTACAGATTGTTGTATTAATGTTCATCGTGATTGAAGTCGAATCGTAGAATTGCCACAATGTCCATGATGAAATGCCAGCACATGCACATGGATATGTGCACGTTGTGGATGTATTGCTTTGATTTGCTTGTGGTAATGCTGAAATGATAAAAATCCACAATAGTGTATTCACAAAATTATACCAATGTGAACTTCTTAGTAGAAAGGAAACTTTAATAAATAAGAGTCACAAAATATCTAAATATAAAGCCTTAAGATTTCTTTTTGAAGAATTACAATTTTTATCCAAGAGACTGCGCAAATTTCATAGATGTCACTACGTACCAGTTCATTTGCCACGGTTTCATCAATAAAATAAATATCATGTCAGTATTTATGAATAGTTTTAGCCTTTATTTTGTTGTACCCAAGTTATTGAATTCATAAATAAAAAATAGCTTGCTTGAGAAAAATCTGCTGTGGAGGCTTTCATCAAAATTTACATTTCTAAGTCAGTTTCTTTCTGTACAATATTATTTGTACGATGGTACGTGGAAGACGACATGCTCTAATCTTTCAAATCACAGATCTGACAGAAAGTGATACTTTTGTTGGGAATTGCAATATCTCAAATACTGTCTAAAATAATGGAACACAGACGTTCCCGTATGCTTGAGATGTTCATCAAGAGCACAAAATACGATGGAACATATATCATTTGGCACAATACCCAATGATCTAAAAATCGATTGTACTTCTGATTTAGAACATTGTTACTTTACAATTTCTGTATTCGTGGATTGGCAGTTATTCAAACGGGAGCACGACGAACATTTTTGTTCGATGCTACCCAGCTGTTACACTATCATATAGAGAATAATTCACAAACTACAAAGAAATATCTTTCGTTTAAAAAACAAGATTTTGTTGACTGACAAGGGAAGGTCCCCAAGTGTGACGCTCGACTTCGAGTCTGGCATTGACGACTTTGTAGAATTCATTGAGTACAGCACGCAATATAAAGCGTCCCTCCTCACAATGAACTTTTAAGAAACTACGAGATACAACAAAAGATGTCATACAATAACTGGAGATAAAGTATTCATGATATTTTTTAATACTTTTTCTCAATTTAGAGCTGAAATTTTTATCGCATACATATCTGATCAAGATCTTTTATTCCTGAAAGTTCCAGCACTCTAGCTATAACTAATACTAAAATACATAGATGAGATTGGTACACAAATTTTCGTACAATTAAAATAATTCAGAAGTTCAGCGTAAAAATTTGTCTTTTAATTTCATCTATGTATTTCAGTATTAGTTATAGCTAGAGTGCTGGAACTTTCAGGAATAAAAGATCTTGATTAGATCTGTATGCGATAAAAATTTAAGCTCTCTACATTGAGAAAAAGTATGAAAAATAGCATAAATAATTTATCTCCAGTCATTGTAGGACATCCTTTGTTGTACCTCGTAGTTCCTTAAAAGTTCATTGTGAGGAGGGATGCTTTATATTGCGTGCTGTACTCACTGAATTCTACAAAAATCGTCAATGCTAGACTCAAAATGGATCGTCACACTTGGGGATCTTCCCTCGTAAGTTAAATGCTCTGTGTCTTTCTCTCAACATCATGACAAAGCTTCGCTGTTGTCACGTTTTAATCTTTCTATTCAAAATATCCATGACACAAGAATCGTGAAGATATATTAGAAGTTTTCCTACTAAAACAAACCATTATTTTTTATAGCTTTGTACAAATATAATATTAGCGTAGACTACATTTATGATTAGAACAACATGTCTTTCTCTTTCACTCTTTCTCAGAATGTAAATTAAAAAGTGTTTCAACCAAGTATTTTGAAGGAAATACTGTCTTAAAATTTAGTTGAAACACTGCCATGAAAGTTTTGGAATCTTTCCATGCAATGTGCATAGGTGAGAAGCTCTAATCAAATTTTAGTGTTGTCAATAGAGCCCGTTGAGTCCAAAAACTTTCGATCCGAACCCGGTTGATTAAATTCTTTCGGACTCGGACTCAGCCAATAGAAAATTTTCAGATCTCGACCTAGATCCAATGAACAGGAAATTTTTGAAACAGAGCTCGACCGGATCCGAGTTCGAAACCAACTCGATGGACTAGCTGTCAATCTAATAAACAATTCATTTGTCTTCAAGCATGAGTAAACGTAAGTTATGAAAATTTGTTTTTAATAGATTTATCAAGATAGTTTAAAGAATCTTTAAAATGTTTTCTATAAATTGTATTTGAACAAATTTTCAAAGAAGAAATAATGCGCCAGTGCATCTTATTCATTGGTGAAAATATCTTGCTAACGTAGTCAAAAGATCGAGCTCTAGAGTGCTAGAAACTTGTTACTTGTTTTTGCTTTGATTGAAAACTTCAACCAATAGATCTCAACATACTACCATGTGACAATGATACAGATTTTTGAAAGAAATGGTGAGTATAACTTTAAACCAAGGGTATACAGCTTCTGCATCACCTTAGATCCTCCTTTCCGTTAGCAATCGTAACAACTATTCTTGAAATCTTTCAGTGTTCTAGCTTATGTAAAATATGCGAGCTGTACATTTCAGTCACGAAGAGAAATGCACTAATAAGTTTTTTTATTTATGAAAGTTGGATATTTGAGACGACCATACCAGATATATATCTGCTTTTTTCTCAAGTTTGTGTAGCAGCAGTTTTGATATATCCTTATAAAAAATTGAAACGTGAAACTTTAATCCTTTATTTCTAGTGGCTATTGGAATAGCTATTGATAGCATGATTGCAGAAAATAAAGGAATCATGACATTTGAAAACAGGAAGAACATTTTTTTGTCGTAAGCTTCGTGAGTTATCGATTGGTAAAAAGAATTTTTTTTTTCATCGCTTTGTTTGTGAAATATTGGACGTCCAAAATCGATAGTTCTCAAAAAAATTTCAAGAAATCGAAGTTGTTGAAACAAATCGATCTCTACTCACAGTTAACAAAAATCTTACGGTATAGATTGATGAAAGTGTCTGCTAGTAAGTTAGATATGTTTCGAATATATCGCGATAAGTTGATCAATCTCATGCATTAAAGAACACAACTGACCAGGGAATCACCATAAGGAAAAACTTGTTTCTCTACTATTATAAGTAGCTACAAAAGTGATTTTTTGCGGGATATACTCTCGACTGATGCACTGCATATTATATATATATAGAAGTGTAATTTCTTTCCTCTTCGATATATATTCGTTCAATTGTGCCGTCGACTAGTAACTTGAAAAGTCATCATATTTCAATT